GGGCGTACTCGGGCGTACTCGCGTGCCGCACGCGGCCGCAATGTTAATTGCAATGAAATTGACTGAGGGATGTATAAGGAACAAATCCCGCCAAAGCCAAGAATTAGAGATATTGCGTACCTTTGCGCAATTCCAAGAAGCAAAAGCGTTGCACCATCGTTGGCGTGGGCACGCCAAAAAATTTGGGACAGCACAGCGCTTTGGCAATTCCAAAGAGCAGAAGTGCAGTACTGTCCCAAACGTTTGGCGCGGACAGACCAAAAATTTTGGGACAACACAGCATTTTGCAGCCCCGGGGCGCTTCCTGTAAAATTGGTTTCTAAGGTTTCTTTTTGGGTGACAATACAGCACATTTTTTTAACTCCAGGCCAAAATATTTGGGACGGTACAGCAGCATTTTGCTCTTCGGCACTGTAACAGTGCTGTACTGTCCCGACGGCCCGCCGGTTCTGGCCTGGACCAAAACAATGACGCGGCATGTTAGTATGCTGTGCCGAAAAGCCAAAAGGACCGTGAAAGCACCGAACTCTTTTTGGATGCAACCCAGCTGTCGTCGGTCGCTAACGATCCGTATCGCAGACGCACCTTTAGCCCTCACTCAAAACTGCATCTTCTCGTTGCCCAACGCAGAGTCCAGGAGCTTTTGCAAGATCTCTTCTAGAGGGATATCGGTCCACTTCCAGTTCTCTGCGTACGCGTGCACGAACGGGTACCGACTGATCGCATCGTAAATGTTTGCCGAGCTGGACGCTCGTCGCCACCCTTGCCAAAACTCGTGGTCTTCCACAAACGACCAAAACGTTTGCAAGAGTTCATTTATGGAAGAATCTCGCCTTTATCCTCGTAGCAAAACAAGCCTCCCAGGATTGTTGTCTATAAAGAAGACAATGTGTCGGGGAAGAAGACGATGTAGATGGAGTAGCGGCACTACTTGGACAGTCGAGCCATCTCCAGCATAAAGATGTAGGAGCGGCGGCTTGAGAAATGTCGAGTAAACCAAAGCGGCAGCCTGCCTGCTGAAAACTGCACTCTGCTCCTGATCCTCGCAACAAAGCCGAAGCCGTTCTCGAAGGTCGAGAGCGGCTTGCCCTGAAAGTCGGGGCGCGTGTCGTTATTCCTGCATGTGGAAGTTTCCCTAAATTACTGTTCCCAAAATGGGGGAAATTGATATAGGGCCCCGTATTATAATAGGAACCTAAATATAGGACCCCGTATTGACAGTAATTCAGGACAATCCCCATGTTCGTCCACCCAGCTCAAAGTACCCGTCTGCGTAGATCACCGCCACCTCGTTGACGCTTTCGTGGTCGAGCGTCTGGGAGGCCTCGGTCGTAGTAGCCGCTCGAAAGCCGCGTCCATCGCCGGGCTGATGGTCCATGAGTCGGTTGGCCATCTGCGTTCCTCCTGCGCCGCTCTACAGTGCAGTGGATTTAAAGCCGCAGCTCCCGCCTTGCCAAAGAGGGACTGGCACACGAACTGAAATTTGCCTGTTAGTGTAGCTGCCCGTCGTTGAGCTGCGCGTGCTGAAGCTGGGAAGTAAGTCGCTGGACTCGTTCGGCCGTTGGTGCTGCGACGGAATGCTCGTTTTCGATGCGTGTTCGAACACCTTGAAGTAGCTGTCCTTGCGCTGGAGGTTGCTCCTTGGGCCTTGAACTTGAAGCCGATGAGGGCTCCACCGCGCTTGAACTCCTTGAAGCCACTCGTGGTGACGTCCTCCGCAGAAGTCGTCCACAAAGTGAAGGGCAGGCGCCAGGTTGGGGGCCCTTCCGAACCAGCTTCCTAAATCGGCCACCCTGCAATGGCTCCAGACTGAAGCAGTGGAGCCAAATAGGGGCGCACGACGCCGATGCCATGTCTGGTGGGCAGGATCACGTATGCGTGGCACGACTCTTGAGCTGGAAGTTGCCGATAAGCGCGCTCGTGGTGGAGGCCGCACGTCTGTAGTGTGGATGTCGGCTCCTTCTCTCTCAAGGCCCTGGCGAGGTCGATGTTGCCGCGAGCCCGCCTGGTGCCACGCGAAGGCGAAGGCGCAGGCCATTGGGCCGTCAGGGAGTTCGAGGAGCTCGTTGGTGCGCTTGAAGGTCGCCAAAGGTACGGCTGGCTTTTGGCCAATGCGTCGGTGAAGCGAAAGGCCCTTCCATCTTGCCGTTCTTGAGGTCCTCCGCTATCTCTGCGGCCACGGTTTCCCAATCCGGGTCGACTCGGTATGCCTGCAGCTTGTTCACCACGAAGGAGTCACGCGCGCGGAGGAAGTCGTCGATCGGAGTCGGGCCGCTGTAACGTTCATTACGTCGAATTCTCCAACCTGCCCCAGGCTGTATGCGCAGGAGCAGATTCCTCATCAAGACATCATTGCTGTCAGGGAAGGCCACGTTTCACCCCCACACGCGCAAGGCTACCAACACAGCAAGCAATTCTGCTTGGAACACAGGACGGTCGCTGTCACACACATAAGGTCCACGCCTGAAAGACCTGCGAGGGTACCTTTCTCCCAAAGTAACCTAACAGAATTCCATCAGGTGAGCAGAGTATACTCCCCCAACGTAGGCCATTCCATCCTCCGCGGCACCATCTGCGAAGAGGAGAAAGCCTCGCCTGGCACGTGGTTTGCAACGGGAGGGTGGACGTTTTCGGGCTGCGGACGCCTGACACCTAGTCATCATGGAGGTTTGAGCACTTCAAGAACTTAACCCCAAAACCCGAATCAAACCCCACGGATCCCGCGCCCCTGCAAGTGAGGCCGACGACCGGGGCGCTTGCAAAAGGCTAAGGCCAAAGCGGCGGTGTCCCCAGTCGTCATGACTGAGATCTTGTCCTGCACTCCGACTGTGTCATTAACCCTGGAGACGCTGAAGTAATGGATGGCCCAAACTTTCTGTCCACGCCTGACAGCAAACCTGTGGCTGAGTACTCTCTGAGTCTCTGACTCGGAGGGGATAGGCGGTCACTGAGCACTGCCCATCCCCCTTCAACATCCTTCAGCGTCTGACCCCAAGGTTTCTCGTCCAATTCTGCGTCACCTGAATATCCAACGGAGGACCAAATCTCAGCGTCAGCGTTTCTGCGGCTGCGGTGATGCTCAGAGGAGACAAGTGGGGAGACATGTGCCCTGAAGAGGGCACCCAACCTGTAAGGCACCCCCAAGCTATAATGTCATCAACCAGGCTGGTGTCAGAGAAGCCAGAGGACAGCAGAAGCTCACGAAGGAGCCTCAGACGCTTTCCGGAAAGTATGTGCCTAACATGGCTGGGCATGGCTGCATGGTCCTGCTTCAAGCTCGGACAAGCGCAGAAGGTCAGAGCTGATCTTCTCAGCGACTTGAGACAATCACTCAGGCAAGGAAAGGAGGCGGCTGGCAGGGCGGCTGAACTGAGATGCCTTGCGCTGTGGAGGAACTCCTGAGGTTCGCATTGGGTTCCTAAGAGAGCAAGACATGGTGACTTGCAACACCTGTGTGTGGGACTTGCCTGTGATGCACTTGGCTGATATTTCGGGAACGACCTGTCCTAAATTCAGGGAAGTGTTCAACTGAAGCCAAACGCGGCTCTGAAAAGCATCAATGTCAGGGGGCAAATGAGAGATCTTGGGGAGGAACCCCAAAGGCGGACCTGGGCGCGGCCATGGCGCGCTGAGTCTGATCCTGCGACGCCCTGTGTAACCTTCCTGAATGGCCTGAAGACTGCAGCAATGCGGGCACTGAACGCATAAGCTAACAAGGTAAGCAGTCTCTTCAGAAGTTTCAAAGGAACCTTGCTAGCGATGCCCCATTCGTCATGGACATGATTGAGGTCTGGCCTGCACAACACGCCAAAATTGCTCAAGGCAGAGAGGTTGCGCCAGAGGGCAATTGTTTTCCTACGGGTTCCTCCAGAACAGTAATGGTCGAACTGCACAAACTGAATGGCGGCATGGTTCGCCTTGAAGAACCCTCGCATGAAGGATGTGTTCCAGAAGTGTGAGCCAGCCGGGTTCTCCACACTAAAATAGACACTGGCATGAACGCACGCCTGAAGCAAAGAGGCAGTCCTGCAATACAATTTGTTTGCCGCATTTACATGGCACCTGCCTGCGAAACCTAATGTCGCCAAACCGTCAGGGCGCTGCCAGCTGCGTAGTGGTTCTGGCCCACGCCTCCCTGCCAATGGAATGCTGCGAGCCTGGCTGCTTGTGGAGCAAGGGGGCGCCAAGCGCACGTATCAAACGCTCCTGTTTTTGATCAAGTCAAGGACCAGTTGATACCCAAAGTCCTGCAACAGGTCAACCTGAAGGACATAAAAGGTGGGACACTCCTTGCTGTCAACTGCCAGTCTCCTAAAACCAAGACTTGAAAAGGCGGTGCTCAAGCGACAGTTTCAATGACAAGTGGGGAGAAATCTAAGACGGGAGGCCGTTTCTCCTGTCCAATGCCCGGCCCATGATCTTGCACCTTCTGAACTGCTGGCTTGGGAACTGAATCTCACCATCAAGGGTGGGGAGGTACAGGTACAAGAAAATTGCAGGGCGGTTACTAGAAATCCATGCTGCTGCTGCTGCTGCCGCTGCCTCCTCGATTGCTTTACACGCCTGCGCAAGCAAGCGGCACCCCACGATGGGCGCTATCCCCTGCCGGCTTGGCATGCTGCTGACTGTGAAGAAGCATGGTGTCTTGGAAGGTTACATTGAGCCACATTGAGGGCTACATCGGCGCATCAGTGCGCACCGAGGAAGTTTTTCCTCTTGATTTTTGGGCCTGGAGCTACCGAGCTGAGTCGGCTGCACACAGCCTGGCTGAAGACCTGGCTGGCTTTGTCAGCCCATTTCACCTCCAATTTTTTGGGGGGGAACGGGTTGCGGTGGCCTGGTGGCCAGGGACATAGGAAATTCATGGCCCAAATGAAGGGTTTTTTTTGTAAAAGTGTACAGTTCGGCCTGTAAACTGCCAAGGCTTGGTACTGCTTGGCATTTTGCTTTGCGTCTTGGCATTTTACAGACCGAACTGTACACTTTTACAAGAAACCCCTCAATGGGTCCATGCATTTCCTATAACAAAGCCAGCCAGCCAAGCAACAGATTGCCATTGACGTCTCTGCGCTCCAACCGTGCGCCAAGTTGAAGTTGAAGCACAACCTAACGCCACTCTTGGTGCCTGACAAACCCTTCAACTCAGATGGCACCTGACGAGTGGAAGGTTGCAAGGTTGCGTTGGCCTGGGTTGTCTGCTTGCCCTTCTTCCCCTTCTTGCCTTTGCCCCCGCCCTTGAGACACGTGTCCTGACATGCCTGATCCCCAAGCGCGCTTGACTGGAGGGGCGGGCTGGCAAGGGGAATCCTAAAGATTCTAAGGCCAAGTAAACTGTACTAGGTCCTGAGAGCCTGCGCGTAGCGCAAGGCCATGACAGCTTCGGGCCACAGCACTCCAAAAGAAAAAGGGGGCCCAGACCAAAGCTGCAGCAAAACTCGGCTGTAAAGATAACGAATTCCAAAAACTGGAGCTTCCTGAGAAAACCCTGCAGAAAGCTGACGAAACTAGATGCACCCACTCCCTGTGACACCTAGACCTAGCCAAGCTGTGGCTGCGGTGAGCTCCTTCGGCCATGGCCGCCACAGGCCACGAGCAGCTGAATCCGCAATCCTGTTCACAGCGCAGAATGCAATATCCAATCAAAGTTAGGGCGCGTCTGCCCAAGCTGCTGTGCACGCGCTTCTCGCACCCAGCGCGCGTAGGCCTGACTCTCCTGAAGCTGGCAAGTGGCGGCAACTGCACGCCTGTCCTACCGCCGCGACTCTGGCGTAAGGTACTCCCTGATGCCAGCCAACAAACTCCTGGAAGTCGCTTGCCAGCAAGTTGCCCAAGTCCGGCAGTAACTGCTCAGGATCTCTGCGGCGGCGCTCTGCTGCAATTCTGCCGTTTCTCCAAGTCAGTGTAGGTAATCCACGTCCCTGGCTGCCGTGCTGGCCTGGCTGGCGGAAAGGAAGACTGGACTGCAGTGGTAGGAGCGCTGGTTGCCTGAACAACCGGTGGCTGTCCCAGAGCTCGCTGCAGAAGTAGCTGGCGGTCCTGTAGCGCCCGGATCGGGCTTGCCCAACATTTCGAGTCCAACTGCCCAAGGGTCCACGAGCGCCGGGGAACCTGCGGAGTCGGGTTGACGCGCCGCTGTTGGCAGGAGCCTGCTGACGGTTCCTGAAGTGGAGCCCCAGGTTCAGCCAACTGCACTGCTGACAACGGCTGTGCCTTAGCTGGAGGTGTCTTCGCAGCAGGTTGCTGCACCACAGGTGCCTGTTGCGCGGTGCAGCAAGCTGGAGGCGCCTTCCGAGGCTTGGGTACCACCTCTGCAGCAGGTGTGGGCGGCGGAGCTGCGCCCACAAACACTGATTGCTGGACCCGCCGATCACTGCCAGGTTGCTGTCCCGAGCCTGTGCAATCCTGCAGTTGTCCTGAGCCCATTGCAGCTGTCCTGGTCACGCTTGACGACCAACCACCTTGTTCCACGCTGTCACTGGGCATGCCTCTAGTCCAAAGCTTCCAGTCCTGTGTCCACCAAAGAGCCCTGCGCTGTGCAAGTGTCCGCACAATCCAACAGGACTCTAAGGCGACGCAACTCGACTGGCTCCAATGTAGCCCAGGCTGCTGCGAGGGAGTCTGGGCTAGTCTGTGACTGAAGAAACAGGGCTTTGCTGTCCATGATCGCCAAGAAGGACCTGAAAGGACCAAGCTGCGCAATTGTTTAGCACTTGAGCCAAAATGGTATCCACGTATAGCATAGAGAGGTATGCACGCAGGATTCGCATATCAAACCGGACGAATATGTTGCACTTACCCGAGGCGACGTTACACCTCGCGGCGACTTAACACAACCCCTAGCACAGTACTCGGTACTGCCAATTCTTGCTTTCTTCTAGCACTGGGCAATCCCCAAGCAAACGAAAAAGAACTGAGAACCTGACAGGCTCGCAGTGGAATCGACCTGGAGCGAGCAATTGCAATAGCTCCGACCTTGCATGGCAAGGACGACCTGCCTGAAACGGTTGCCTGCCCAAGAACTGGTCGGACCTACTGCTGCAGGTACTTTCCAGTTTGGTGCAGCGGAGCGAGGATCGGCCAGTGATTATTATGATTTTGCAGGAGCACCAAAGCTGCATTGCCTCTCGGTACTGGCCTGCAATCATCACGATATTGTCTCCTGGATACTTGAACCTGCGCAGAATTGCGCAGATTGCGAAGCCAGCTTCCCTGTAATTCCAGGTGTCAGTCCTTATATGTCCTGTTGCACGGATCACATCTGGGGTCGCGACCCAGCATTCATCACAAGATTGCCTGCGCCGCTTTCATTGCGATCGGGATCGCTTCCTTGCACGCGTCCAAAGAAGGCCTCCGATAAGATAAAAGAACGGACACGATTTCTGGGAGCTGATGATGTCTGTGAGCTTCGCTCAGAAACTCAGACTCACACCGGCTGCGAGAAGCCCATTGGCATAGACCTCATGAAGCAGCAACTTGCATGTAACATTACAATCGTTAAGCCAGCAAAGCGGAACGTGATGTCACTGCTCAGGCCGCCGCCGCGGGTCCATTTGGCTGTTAGAGATCTGTGTGCCCCCTGCAACGAGCAGCAAACAGTCAAGAACTTGAGAGGTGCGAGCTCAGCAGCTGTCAGCCACATTGGCAGCCTGAATTGCCCATCACCGGCACTTGAACCATTTGCAGCATGTATGGAGCTGGCCTCGGTTAAGCTACACTTTGGCCATGCATGGTCAAGTGTTTCCGTACGGTCAAGCTTCTGAAACGCACCGTAGAAAAATGAGATTCGGTACACCATTCGTCTGGCCTGAACTTTGGAATGTTTTGCAGTGAAGCCTGATAAGATTCGACAAGCTTTCTCTTTCCCTTTCCCACGTGAATCTTGCTGCACCACCCCCTGATGTCCCACTTCTTGGCCAGGTCAAAACATGCAGAGACGTCTGCGAGGGAGTGGAGCAGACACCCCTGCCGCGCAATGTGGGGATTAAGCCAGCAACTTGACCCTTTCATAGTACCTGCTCTGAGAAAAACTGAAAACTGAGTTTAGAAGTGCGTCGTGGGATGTGACATCAGGAAAAGAGCGTTTGGTGCTAGAAACGAACGTGGTCACAATGTCAGTACGAATACCAGACACGCAAGTGCAAGATGTGCAGATGTGCACAGTGCGGATTCAGACTGATCAAAAACCCTGGGAACTCTGAGTTCTCCTCGCCCCCCAGTTTGGCTCAGAAGGCTGCGGGTACCTCAACTCTCACAGCTTCCATTAAGACAGCACATACCATTTCCAACGTCAGCGGAGCACATAGTGGTCAAGCTTGCCTCAGTCGTCACTGTTCAGCTCAGCCCAGACTTCTTTACGCATCTTAGGAGGCTGAGCAGGGCGCCTGTCCCAAATCAAGGCAGTGACGAATACAGACCACAGCGGAACCTAACACCTATCTGGAAGCTTAATTAGCATCTCAAGTGTGGAAAGTAACACGGAAACAGCTAGGCATGCGCGCATGTTGGGTCCGCATCTCGTTGCTCATGCAAAGCTAGTCCTTGAGCCAGAAGGAGAAGTAGCGACATGTGTTCACAAGTGTCCAGACCGTCCTATGTGCAGGCTGCAGGAGCCACGAAAACAGGTCGTTCCTAGCATTTGGGGGGCGAATATCAAAAGCAAACGAAGACAGCTCCAAATCGAAGCAAAATGACAGTACATCCACGTAAGACAAGCTCACGACATTCCAAAGTTCATGGCACCATCATAATCTTGGCGATGAAGTGCCTTCTCGATCCCATTGCCTCTTGCGGTCCCGATGTGGCAGTTAGGACACAATCAATAAGGACGGCTTCAGAAGTCAAAGACACTAGGCATATAATCCCCAGCACCACCTCCGCTCCAACTCTTCCTGGCATCCTAGTTGCGCAATCCGGCCAGCTGATATGAACGAGTGCCATGCGAGGGTAGGCCCATGACAAAAGTCTGACTCGCAACCCACATCGTCCATCACCACAAGAGTCGACTTTGAAGCCAGCAGTGACAGTTGGAGCAAGTCTGAGGCAGCATCCACTTCGGAGTGGCCTCCGTCAATGAAAATCAGGTCACACTTGCTCGCCAAGTTTTGGGAAACGTAGCCTGGTATTGAGATGTTTGAAGGTCCTTCTACCAGTCTGTGTCGGTGTGGAAAGATGGATCGAATCACGCGGTGGCAGGCGCGTGTGTATGATTTCGAGACCAGGTCAAAAGATACCATCTGTACTGCGGGTGTAGCACTTGACAGCATGGCCCATGCCGAATGCCCACCGTTGAAACCCACCTCACAAATTCGCTGGACAGTGGCAGAGTTTGCTTGCCGAGAAAGCCACCAGGCTTGAGTAATCGATGATGTGCTCTCCAATCGATAAAAGCCATCCCTATCGGCGTTTAGACTTGCGAACATGAACCAAGACAGCACAAAATGGCCAAGGGCCACAGCAGTGCGGTCTCCTCGAGGCAGCAAATCTAAGAACCACTGCAAGTCCTTGACGACTCTGGATCGCAAAGATTGGTTTGCACCAGGCCGCATCGGGGAATTCACGGCAATCAGCTCAAGCAGGGCGATGTAATCCAGCGCACGAAGAGAGGCGACATCGCGGATATCCGCAGAGTTTCCCTCAAGAACAGTAGCCGCTAGAGTTGTTCCAAGCTCGTGCACAGCGGCCCACAGATTGCCTGCGGCCATAGCCTGCAAAGTCCGCGTATGAGTTGCATGCTGTGACAAATGCTCGAACACCAATTTTCGCGCAAGACCCAGCTCCACCGCAAGCATGCCTTGTGGATCTGCCAAAGTACCAGACGCCAGCGCTTCGGGCATAAACCAGAGAAAGTATACCGCACATACTGTTCCTGCTGTTCGTTGACTAGATTCAGCCTTCATGGCGAGCCTGGACATCATGCATTGGCGTGTGAACCCCACCTTGAGCAGACTGAGAAGGCTGGCACTAAGATGCACCAAGTTTGGAGTAAAGGGAACTGTTTGACCTGCAGGTGCCCTGCGCTGCGCTCGTGGGTCCCGTGAATTGTTGCATCAGAATCTTGCAATTTGGCTCCAAAACAGCACGCTCTCGCCGCACGGTTGGCTTGGGCACCGTATGGCACCGTCACAAAGTGCAGAACGGTCCTCGCTTTCACGCGTCCCTGCATTTTTGGCCGTGTGCTCTGCTGAAATGGTCGAGCTTTAGGAGTGTTCTTATAATGCTCTCAGAGTTGTGTTGGAGCTCTCAAGCGGTCTTGAGGGAGGAGTGATATTGGAGGGCTCGTCTTAAACTGTTTGGGATTATGCCGGCATAGTTGAAAACACCGCCTGAACCTGACCTAATGCGGGACGAGTTAGAAATCTGAACGTCAGCACTGGCCACCACACCTTACAGCATGTGATACAAAACTCATGCCCTGTCAGAGGCTCGCGTATTGCCCTTTCCTATGTCCTCGCCCCTGCCAACTCTGTCCAACTCTGTGAACACGGACCGTCGAACGATATTAATTCACAAAAATCTGCAAAACCTGGACCTGAGGCCAAAGAACATGTAGCCTTCCGAGGGTGAGGTCAATGTAGGTTCTTCCTGAAAAGCACCTCTGCACTGATGGCTGACAACTAAGCCGCCTTCAAGCCCATTTCATCTTTGCTTCGGATTACATGTCTGATCACAAGCCCGTTGCCCACTCGCCCAAAGCCGAGCAAAACCAATCTCCTGAAAGTGGCAACCATGCCCAACCCGAACTCACTGTCAGACTGTCCCTCACCAGCTGAAAACCCAGCATCGCATGCTTTCTTGCGCACGACTTCTCTCCAGGCCAGGCGTGCTGCTTGGACGCGTCAATCTACTCCCCCTACCCTGAAGCATAAGGCATAGGAACGAGTTTTGGACTAATTATGAAAGTTGGAGGGTTTGCCAAATGCTCTCAGGATTTTTCAGGGTCGTCCTTCGTGACCTTGCGCGAGCCAAAATCCCACATGGGCACGCAACGCAACCGGACAGCTTTGTTTATACCTCGCACCTTTATCCCGCCTTCTGCAAAAACTTACACTCCAAACAGGGCCAACTGCAGGTGAGGCGAACCAAACGGAGCCGCTCAAACGAATCACTGCAAGCATCTTGCAACGTAATCTCAGACCAACTGCAGCTTTTCAAGTCGATAATTATAGAGGCCTTGTACTTGCAGCATTGGACCACCTTATTCTAGCCACGAGAAGCCTCCACGCCAGAGCGTTTTCGACGTCTGGGCAATTCTGGAGGTCTGAGACGCAGCTGATGGCTCAGACAAGCCATCCAAGGATACGTTAAACGTCCTGCAGGCTGCTGAGTGGATTCATATGCGCAGCCTGGCTGTGCAACCTAGCAATTTTCTCAATGCCATGCTGATTGCAATTTGTTGCTTGCAACAGTATGTGCACTATCCTCCATTGGACGATCTTCTTCTTGCTTCCGCCGCCTTGCAGGAACTGTGCTTGCCAGGAGTGAGTTCAAATATAATCAAGCATCAACCTCCAGCAAAATAACCTATGAGGCGTGAGAAGCAAGCCTGAAATACTGCAGTTCTGCCACGATGGCATTTTCTACTCGGCGCCAAGTCATGCCAAGTCGATGTCTATCCATCAACATGGCAAAAGCCACATGTTCCACATTCTCGACATGTGTGGTCGAATGCTGGACTCTAAGAACATGTCATTTGTATTCTGTTCTGTCATGTCACCAGTTTTAGCTTCCCACCTTCAGGCTGAGGACGTTTACATTGCAATTGTCCGGTTTCACTGTCGGGTAATTTAGGATAATCACGGCCTGGTTCACAAGGCCTGCGTAGTCACGTAGGATTCCCAAGATGATTCCAGGGTCTCTGGGGCCCACAAAGCAAAGCAGGATGCGCAGTGCCGAATTGGACGGACGGTGCTTTGCAAGGCTCCGGCCGACCCACCCCGCCATCCGCGGTGCACAGTCATTGATGAGAAGATGCCCGAGCGCATCCTTGAGAAGTGGCGCCGCGACTTTGGGCTCGTAGCTAAAGAGGAGGCCCAGAAGGAGTTTCGATTTTATTGCACGCTGTCAAGCCCATTCCGAGCATAGTCCGCGTGTTGATCGACATGGACAACAGCACGGTTACCTTCCCGACGCTTGGTGGCAATGAAACTGTTCATGTTGCTTTCCGAGACTTGATTGGGGACCTGGTGCTTGAACTCACCGATTTTCACTGAAAAGGTGGCTGGCCCATCGGCTTTAAGACGGATGTTCTGGACCCCGCCAAGTTCGGCAACTCGATGCGCGTACAACGGGTGTGAGAGCTTTCCGCTCACGAGGAAAAACCTACGGATGCAGTATGCGCATTGCAGTGCAGCCTGGAACTGGAACATGTCCAGAGTCATGTTACAATGGTGCCTTCTAACATCTGTGAAAGAAAGATCAACACTTCAGCTTGGATGGGAAAAGCAGTCAGCTTGACCATGTGCAGATTGACGCGAACGAAGTCCATTAGCTTCACCATGCGCAGCTTCACGGCACTTGAATCACCGAACAAAGTGCTTGAGGCTCACGGCAAAGTGGCGAAGGCCCGAGATTTAATGATTGAATGCCTGCAAACCTTGGTCATATTTTCCAAATTTTGCCCCAACAGCTTTAGCTTTGCCGCCTTCTGCCCAAACAATTTTCGGAGCAGATCCGAGGGGGTGGTGGAGCGATTCTGGACAGGTTATGGAGAGGCTACGGAGAGAGGTTCAAGGTCTCGGAGAGGTTCCAGAACAAGGTTCCGAAGAGTTTGCAAAGGGAGGTTCAAAAGGTTCAGAAGGTTCCAGGGCAAGTTTCTGGAGAGAACGTCAAACACTCTGCGGGATTCCGCCGGCTTCCGCAGAATCTTACGAAATCACGTTTCGATTCCGCGGAATATGCGTTTTGCAAGTGAAATTCGAGGAAAAAATGCGTTTTGGACCTTTATATCTAGAAAGAGATGCGCCAAACGCGTTACCCCGCAAAATGAACGTACCATTCCGTAGGATGCGGGATCCGCGGAATTCGGCGAAATCCCCCGGAGTGGCTCGGAATCTGGCTGAATTCCGTGGAATGTCGCGGAATCCCTCGGGATCCCTCGGAAAATGACGTGGAGGCCCACGGAATCCCGCGAAATGACGCGGAATGCCGATTCCGCGGAGTGTCGCAGAATCATGCAGAATCCTTTGGAAACGGAAAATCTGGCCAATACGAGTTTTCCATATGAAGTTACTGGCATGGAATGGCCATTGCAGCCTTGGTCCTCCTACCAGTCACTTTACCTACTTTGCAGCTTTCCGCGTAGTTGGGCTGGCAGCTTGTTCCTTGCCTCAAGGATCCTCAAGCGATCAGCCGGGGAACAACTGGGATGAGTTTCAGCTCCCGCTCGCTTCCATAGTTCAAGCTCCTGTTGATTTGTCATTTGCATTTCGCTCGCCTCACAAGTTCGCCAGTGTTCGCGCGCTTGACAGCCCTTTCAGCGGAAAAGCGATTACCTTCCATCGCATTGCCGTTGCCAGCCAATAAAGAAACCTGTTTTTGATTCTTGCATCACAAGTTGTTCATTTCTTGACATCGGGCTGCTTCCACAGAGCAACAAGCTTGTGCCATGCGATGAGTGTTTGATGCAGTTCGTGGTTTTACAAAGGTTTACATGTATGTTCTGCGTTGGCTGGTGCCAGAATATGTAGCCTCATAAACCTTTTGTGGATTCGTGCGGTCCCCGAACTTGACTTGATTGTCCCGATTCGCTGCTACAGAAAGTGCATTTGTCCCTTTGCAGTTGTTCGTGAGTTGGAAAGTCTAGCGTAAAGCGCGTGCATTGGTTGGAATATGTTGGAATCAAGAGAGCCTCATCTGCTTAACAAATGCTGTCGAAACTGATTCCGCATGATTCTGCGGTATCGCTGGTTGATCCAGCAGAAGGAGACAGTTGCGGGCAAAATCAATGTCAATATTGACGCTCGTGACCAGAAACAAATGAAGCGGCGAAAGCGGCCGAATGATTCCTCCTGATGGCAGCTTCACGCCCGAATTCTGATCTTCCAGATAGGTCAACAAAACTTATCAGCGTACCATGTTTGCTACACGCATGGTCTTCCTCAGAGGAAGAATGCACACGGCTGTATTGTTGCTACTCATGAGGCTCTGGACATTACTTTTTGGGAACATGCGGTCGCAATGATCCCCGTGACGTAATGATGTTAAGGTTCGTCTTGAAAATAAAGGCAGTGTCAAAAAAAAAACGAGTGAAGCTTTGCGCGTGCAGAATGGATGTCTGACGTTATCGTTTATGACGAGGCTCTTGACGTCATCATTCTAGATTCCAACCTGTGTCTCCAGCAAAATGCGTTTTCTGCACTTGTGTCATTAATTAATGACTAGTACCACGTCGTCCATCAAACCGCTGGATGAAATTCCGGCAGCGACCTACTAATGAGCTTTAAGATGACTTCTCGATTTTTTGCCAGAACTTTCGGACAATTGAGTGTGGCAATATATGAGCAACCTGCTGCGGCGCAGGACATGCCTGCCGACATGTCTGACCCAGCGCCCCAAAAACATCTGGAGTGAGAATAGGATTCCATAATGATCTTGAGAACTTCTGAATCAGTCCTGCGAAGGAAGGCGAGGTGACTTCAGACACAATATGCCAAACTAACAAAAAATTGACATCACAAAGACACATTACTGTGAAAAATCTGCATCTGCATCCATTGTACGGGAGCCTTCTCATCTCACCGCCCTCAGTCTCGGCGCGATCTGATCGAGCTGTTGAACCCAGCACTTTGGATTCCACCTACAGGACAGGAATGGCTGAATGTTCCGGCGCCCAGTGCTGTCAGGAAAGCCTGGTCGCTGATTTCGTTGATCTTGGTATCAACCTTTAGCACAAACGACCGAAGGATGCTGTTTCCGGTGAACCTTTGCCAATAGCAGCCGCCACTGCGAACCATCTTGCAGACTGGAAACTGGTCGACCGGCCTATAATTCAAGAAGTCGAGGAAAAACATTATCTCGACAAGACCACCAATCCAGGATTGGATGTCTGAGTACCGAGGCATGTTGATCTGCAAGCAAACAACAAACGGTGGTTGAGCACCAACATCCTTTGAGACTTGCGTGCTGTAAAGCCTTCTTGTAGATCCAGTTGAGCGCGTAAAATACGCGGTAGCCCCCAAGCATGACAACATACAAGCTGGCACCCCTCAGATTCGGCAGCTCCATCCTGGTTGCTTGGTGCACGTGTCTAAACTGAGAGCAGAGCACATCCTTGTTGACCCGTTCACGATAACAAAAGATGTACTGCGGGACCTGGGCACATGATGGCCCAAACAGTTTGCGCCTACAGTGGCCAACAAAAAAAAACACCGCACGGGCAATGGCAACCGTCGCATAAACTTACTTGTGGGGGTGGTGGGGGTGGTGCGGGTGGTAGGGGCGGTGGGGGCGGTGGGGGTGGGGTGGTGTGGTGGCGGGGGTGGTGGGGTGATGAAGGTGTGGATGGCCGGTGTGGGGCTGCTGGTGCTGCCGCCACTGCTGCTGCTACTGCTGCTAGGGCTAGCGCTGGCGGCGGGGCTGGCGGCGGCGTGGCGCCGGTGGCCAACAGTGGCGCTGCTGCTGCTCCGGCGTCGGTATGCCTTCCTTCCTAAACAGGCCGGGAGCGGAAAACTGCAAAAATCCGCCATTTCTGCTCCCTCTGCAACAGGCCAGAGGAGTAAAAGTAAAATGAAAGCGTGGCCGCGCATTGGGAACTTGCAGCATCTTGCAAACGAACTTGCATGACAAAAAATCATTTTGGCTCATGGCCCCGAGTCTGGCTGCCTATCTTCTGGTTTCCTTTCCAAACTAGTTCCCGGGCTTGTTGGGGAAGATCAAAACATTTTACGTAGTTTGGGGCTAATCTGCGAATGGCTTCTCAAGTTGGCAACCATGCCGGAGCCATCGCGTTTACTTTCTCCATGCATCGGGTCACCAAGTTTTAAGCACCATCATGGCGCGGGCACAATCTGACAGGGCATTGAAAACGTGGCTACAGCACATACTCGCACTCCAGTCCCCCAGCATATCAAATACCTGCAGCTAAACACCTCCAATCATGGAATCGGCTTCCCTTCGAGCTGGAAGCACCCATCCTTCAAATCTTACGCCGCGCTCGTGAAGCTGGGCCAAGCGTGAAGCTGCTCAAGTTGATGCTTCGCAGCATCTCCGCAGAAGTGGCAGGCTCTTGAGGCCAAGGGCGGGCAAACACGCAGGCCTGCCAAAATGTGAAGTCAGTACCTTGAACATCTGCGGACCAGCTGTTGTAGACATTGAATCCAGTACGTGAGCATACTGTCTAATATTTGGAGTCAATACCTTTTAACCACCCCACTGCATGTTGAGCTGGTACTTTGACCGCCCCTCTAAATTTTCGAGCAAATACTTGAACCAACGTCGAAAATTTGAAAACCACGGTTTTAAGTTTTAACCTATCATTCAAATTTCCAAAATCAGTACTTCACCTACCATCCCCAAGTTTGAAGTCTACACTTTCGAATCAATGGCCTCCGCCGCGGCAGCAACGTCATCATGTTTTGCCCAGCGTCACTCAGCCAGAAGTTTGCCCCCGGACGCCAAAGCCTCTAAACGCATCAGCGGGGACCAAACCTGCATTGTTGTTTTTTCTTGGCTTCTCCTGCCTCATCAGGATACCTGAAGGCAGCATGCGAAGAACCATGCGAACTTTTGACGCGTATGAGCTCGAGGATCGACCTAAGCCACGACAATCAACCATCGCCATCTATGTCTTCGGAGTGGCTTGGAGCACTTGGGATCAGTGCGGCCATAAGCACGAAATCCTTCGTTCCAAGGTTTCGAACTGGCTGCGCGCCACCGGTGGTGTTCCGTCGGGATGTCATGGCTACGTTCCCCAAGAAGATCTGCTTCTGTGTCCACACACCTGCACGGCTCCCGCTGGCTAGCCTCGAGCAGCGGCGCTTGCCGCGTCAAGCAAAATTCACGCTCAACTGCGTTCTACGCAGAAGAAGGCTCTGCCACCTCGTTCGTGATTGCTTCCCTGCTCAGGTCCGTTACACTTCAGCAACACACTGCTTCTCGCATACTTCGGGAAATCATCTGGTCACAGTCCTGGACACAAGCTCACGAATGCTACCGTCAGTCGGCGTGCCAGTAAGGTAGCCAAGCCGACTATCAACCATGTCCGTGAACTGAACATACTTGTCAAACTCCCCAAGGCCACAGGTCGAAGTACGATTCTGGTCACCCAAAGGATTTGTGACAATCTTTGGACCCAGACTTCTCTTATGGGAACAGCGACGATAAGTTACCGCTGTGGGCCCATCTGATCCTGCTTGCAGAACGGAGGACCCGAACCTCAAGAGCAAGGACCTTTCCGCGCTCGATGAATGCTCGGAGTAAAGGGAATTCAAGGAGTCTACACTCTCAAGGTAGTATGGTATCTCCAGCTGTCCTTGATAGGAGCTTTGCCAAATCCAAGATGAATTGACGATCCTTGGCCGGCATAAGACTCCTACGACAATGAAATTGCCACACAACCTCACGGAGAAGACCCGCCGCGGCGGGGATGAGAATCAGTCCAGTACTGATGTCCCAGTTATCGGAGAAATGAACAATCACACTCACGCTTTTCCTGATGCCTTACAATTTTCGGATTTGCTCTTCATGCCTACCGACACTAGTTGGCGCACGCCTTTATTTGTGTATCCGCAACACACTGCAAAAAAGGCAATCCGAAACATGGCAGCAGAATCCTGGCGAGGCATCGAGAGAGAATGAACACACGCTCTGCATCTTCGGCAACTCATTCTAAACGGGTTGAAAGAGCTGCGCTAGAGTCTGCCAATCCAACACGGCATTCTTGTCCGGATGCGCACATCGCCACGGGCGCAGCTGCGGTTTCTTGCCGCGCTAGCCGTGATCTTCCTGGTCATGAAGGCTCCTCATAGAGAACCAATCGACGTGGGCAACTTTTGCCGATGCATGAGCCACTCGCGGGACCTTCAGAACTGGGAGAGGCAGCTTGTTCCGAGCGCAGCAATGCCCCGACTACGGGATATGCCTGAATCAAATACGCTGTAGTCCAAGGTCTACCATGACCAGACGCAATGCATCAACCGTACACTCATCGCAGGCGTAAGACACACCAAATGCCGTTGCAAGCATTGCTACGACAGAGCACTCAGAAAAAACGCAAGATCAAAACTACAGGAGCACTAGGTACAGCCGCACCCGCGGCACCACCCTAAGACTCCAGGCGCATAGCCTTCGCCAATTGCCAAGTCTTCGAGGACAGGCCGTACAGACATGAGAAGAAGTTCGTCGTCGGAGCCTGCCTATATCAGGCTTCCGTTGCAAAGGCACACGATTCTGAGTTGGCAAAAAGCCAATGCCTCGAAGAAACGGCTGCACCGTCGGAGAAATAATGGATGAAATGCGTTGCAGTCGCGTTGTGGAGGACATGGCACCGCCAGGTGACGCAAAGCAAAGATCCCGGATTACCGCCCGTCGTTCAATGACAAGACGCTTGTAAGGAACATACGGAAAAGGTCCATCTCAGGGACAAAATTGTGTGTCTTGAAGAAGCCTTGCGACTCCAAGAAGCTGACCACATTCAAGAGGTCGCAGCTTTGATTGGAGATCATGAACCATCGTGAACCCACTTTAGAAGACCTCGAAAGACAGCGCAAAGATTGATCGACTCCGTCAACAGCTGGACGATCATCTTATGACACATCTGCGACTACAAGGGGCAATTGCCCATCCCATCCCATCCCGAGGCTAAGCTTAAGGCCGACAAAACAAACTTAGGTCAGCTCAAGGTTGAACGCAACCAGCTCCGCGCTAACAAGCTCTTCATGGAAGAGGCTCTGCTTCGAGCGGCCAACTCGCAGCAGAGGAGCAACAGGCAAGCCTTTCACAGGACCCAGTGAGGTCGACAACTGCCCAACAGACCGACGACACAGCACGTGACGCAAGGTGAGGCAGTCAGTGGCGGTGACCGCCGTGGTCTTCATGGTGGTCTTGGCGGTCTCAATATGCCTGTCATACCAAGAGAGAAGGACGGTTCTGACAAAGCCTTCTTAAACTGCGCCATCAGGTGCCTGCCCCATGATTCCGAAAATTAGGCAACAGGTTGGATACTGGCCCGACTCTGATGCCTACAGTCATTAAAGAACTAGATACGGCCTTTACTACGCTCCGCATTATACATAGACTGTTACTGCATGGGAGGAAGATTGGTTATGGTTTCGGGACGGTCACTTAATTTTAATGTCCCCTCCCGGATAGGCTTGGACGACGAAACTTAAATTTGAATTGGACGCAGCTCGACGAAACTGAAAATCAAATGAAAAGTGAAATGGAAACTGCACCTATGGGATGTTGGGATTACCTCCACTTGAGAATGAGCAACTCCGCCCCCCAAGTAATGAACTTGCCCAAGTAAATTCATTACAGATTCTGGAGAACACCGCAGCCGCCACAGAGGCAGGTGGCGCAGGGCGCTGGCCAGTCCTGCACTCTATGCTGCAGGGCAGCCGCTACTACCAGCGACCTGGCATCACGTCCAGGTGATCTCAGTAATGAGGCTTATGCTGAGTTTGATAATGAAACACATTGGGACATGCAGAAACTCACGCAAAATTGATAACCACCCTTCCAACCATGCTGATCACCCTGGTGTAGGCGTGGGCGTGAGCCGGGGGATGCAGAACAGCCAGGTTTCGGGCTTCTAAGCCGTTCAAATTTATTCGCATAATTACGAGCCAACAAGAGCCAGGAAGCTGAGAAGGCAGGCGGCAGAGAAAAGCTGATAATTTTCAAGCTGTGAATGCTGCGTTTGGGGTTGCGGGGAACGTTTGAGAGACATGAGCCAAAGGACATCCGCAGGCCCTGGCGGCACGCTCTTCGTGATTGCTGTGCAAGAATCGAGTAAACAATACAAGGTCGTTACGCTTTTGTGGAGTTGCCAGTCACTGGGCCTCAAAGCAAATACATGTGCTGCTGTGCCCCCAAATACACATGGCAGGCCGATCTGCAGACATCTCTCCACCAGGTTCATAGCTGGCAGGCATCAGCGACTCTCACAACAGCGTCTTACACATGTGACTGCGCAGGTCCGCAGAGCACTGGGGGCTTAGCCATTGCAAAGCCCTCAATGAACTCAGAGAAGGTCCACAAGACCTACAGCACTGCTTGCCAAACATGCAGAACTCTATGCGCAACTTGGTCCGGCCTCGAGGAGGGAGTAGTCGTTGGTCAGCAGCAGCGCAGCAAGTGTGCAAGGAATCAGGATCACTGTCATGTTGCAGGTGTCATGCCTTAAAGGAGATCCTAGTGCTTGACATTGCTGCAGGCTGGCCGGCTGGCCTCCGCGCATAGGTACCGTCAAACTGGTAGAAGCAGAATAAGACAATGAACGAAGTAAGGATGTACCTCTTGCTGAAAATCAAAGTCTCCAGCTCAAGGAAGGGGTCGAAGGGTCACGTGAGCTTGAAGAAGACCAAGTAGAAGGCTTGCTTGTGGTCGAACAAATCCAAGTACCTGCTTACCAGGCTTACTCACTGCATCGCAGATTTGAGTGCAAGACTCATCTGAAGCTTAGAACACTATGGCGGCACCGGGTACAGAAGACAATGCAGTACAAAATCTGCGTCGTCCTCTCTGGCTGTATACCACTTGCATTTCATCACATCTGCCAGTGCAGAGGGGGCAGCTCCTTGAAATGCCTGCCACTGACTGGTTCTTTGCTATCGTCACGAGCAGAGTCAATATCCTAAGATGTGTTGCAGTCGGATCTTGCGACGACTGCTGCAGACATGCTGGCCAATTCTGAGGATAAATCCCGCCCAAATGCAGGTAGTCGCCTATGTAGCGGAAGATATTCCTGGCACACCAGGGCAGCAACACACAACTAAACAACAAGTAAAACGGGACAGCATGGCCAAGAGTATGCAGCAAAGTTCACAAAATTGGACCTGATTCGACTTCGTTGAAAAAATCGTTCTACCTAAACATCCATTGAGCGTGATATTGTGCACGAGTAAAATGCCAATAGGGCTCCGACGCACCATGAAGCTTGTCCATGGAATCCAAAACCTTTTCCATACAAGAGGTACATGCTCCTCAACCGCTCGAGCACCAGCACAGATAAGCTTCCAACACAAAACCTGTGCTGCGTCTAACTGCTACAGATGTCCACACTAGACTGCGCAACCAGCAAGACATACTGAGCGATCTCTGAAGGTATAACTCCTTATGCCGAATGCCCGGCCATCATGCTGCTCTCTGCACTCTTCAAATGTCGGGCGTGGCCACCGCTTTTGATCAAAGCGAAAGAATGGCCGAGAAAACCCTAGGAGACAATTTCTGGTCGGGCCTACTGCAGAAATTTGAAATTGAACGTTGGCGACCTAACTTGACAGTTTTTGAGCGGTCAGATCGGGCATCTCAAGGCTGCGAAAGGCTTGGAGGCAAATGCCAAGAACACCTGCTAGAAAACCGTTGCCGAGCGCTCGGCAAATTATAAGTTGGCCTGCCTAAACGATATGAAAGTGTCTTTCTGACTCTCGGGTGAACGTAGGCAGCCACGAGGTGGTGCTGAACAATCTCGAACAACAGTCCATTCATGTGCGTTGCGCGCTTCTCAATACTCTTCCATAGCATATATACGGGTATTCCATTGCAGTTGTTTCCCAAGTCATTTCAGGCACAAGCGCAGAGCCACACTGAAAAAAAAACCTTGAGACAACGGCACTAATTCGAATTTGGATGCTTCATATGATTGAGATCAGAAAGAGCCTTGAAAGGCAGGTGTCTTTCTCTCGCAGAGCCTGGGTGCCCTCATCCTTGAGTGGATCAGCTGCTACAAATATGGCTTCTGCTCAATGGGTCAAATGTGGTCGGTGGCATCAGTTGTCTTGATAGCATGTCAAGGCCATTGACGCAGCTAATCTCAACCTGTCTGCAACCGATCACGGTCGGATGGCCTGCTTGGAAGCAACTTCATCTCCCATCACTGTGGCGGCCTGTTTGGATTGTAGTTAAGATTCTCTTGGCTTGCTGCACACAGCCACCTTTGCGCAACACAGGAGGTTCTGTGGACAGTCTGCTTCACTCTTTGAGCCGATATTTATGAGGAAAAATCACAAGGACTTAGGCTTTCGTAGCGGCATCCCCGGCGTGATCCGCTTTTTTCATCAAATATTCACGCGATTCCGCCGTCTAGCCAATTCCTCAGCAAATTGAGGAAAAGAAAGGCAAAGAGCACAGCGGCCACATTAGAACAGTGGCTGCTGGGGTGAGGCCATGCTTGTCCTCCAAGTCTCGTGAAGCGCCAGCCTGCTCAGGAAATCTTCTCTTCTTTCCCAGAAGGGATTCAAGCAAGGTGAGCACATGTGAGCACCAAAATAGATCAAAATTCCCCGGGTTCAGGCTACCTCAGAGCACTGGATGCTTTCATCTGAGGGAAAGATATGGAATGGAAAGACGTTAGACAGAGCCCATGGACCTCAGGCAGCAGCAGATAAAAGTCTACTAGCTCCAAGGCCTTCTCGCACAAACAGACAGGCAGTATTGAGCAGTAATGTTGACAACGCTACGGCTGACATGACCACCCTGTAAGGAGGGTACATAGAACACAAGACTTTGCAACATGTTGCAAAACAATCTGGCTTTGGGCGCTTCATGATTGCGTTGACGTAGTTGTACAAGAACGCATTTGCGGCCCTTTCCGCCTGCTCAACCCTCTTCCAAGCATAGTTTGGCTTGATCCATGAAGCCCAAATCCACATACATCGCTCAAACATGTTCAAACACTCTCAAAAGCTCTTATGCCTACGCATGATGGAATTCCATGTACATCACGGGTACGCATTCGCTGTGAGGACTTTTTAGAGCCGGGCAGTCTCTGCAGTTTTGCAGTACCTCCACCAGCTTTGACGCAGCTGCCCCTCTTTCCCATGCCTCAATGGGATCGTTAACATCATCTGCATGATTTGAAAGGGCTCGTGCACCGACTGGGAATCTGCTGGGTTCGTGGCAACTGCAATGTGCAATGCAGTGCGCCCGTCATGTGCCTTGCGTTGCTACCATTCAAATCATGATGACTGAATCCTACGCGCTGCATTAATTTAGCCTGCTTGCGTCTAAGTCCACGACTGTAGCGTCCACATGAGCACGTGCACACAACAGGTGTTGTAATGGTTGGGAGGTGTCTGCCTCCAGCTATGATGTGATCATCCCACCTAGTCATCTAATCCACACCAACAACCCTCAAGCTGATCAAGCTGCTGTGATCTCTTGAAAAGCTAAGGCAACACTGTTGGCAAAAAAATCGCATGTGTTCACGTGACTCCGTCAGCGTCGGGCACATTGCGCAGCAAAGCTCAATGCAGGTCGGCCCGAATGGTCGCTCCTGAGCGTCATGGGAATGGCACAGCAACTACGACACTGGAAGTGCTCCTGGTATTGGGATCAGCCCCCATGACCAGCGCCTGAACTCAGGGATCAAAGAGCCACTCACGTGCCAGCAGATCGCCAAGCATGAGGCTTTTTGCACAGCATCCGCGTCGCAGCCTTTGCTGTATCCCAACACGGCTTTCTCATTCACAAACAAAACTACGAGCCCCACGGCGTGCTGCGTTGAGCAGCAGCTTTGAAGCGGCTCTGGAGCCTTCGGACCTTCATGACCAGGCAGTGCAACAAAATCGTGGCTTGAATGGAAATGCTTCGACGCCAACCAGGCCGCCCTAAAATGTTTATGATTTGATCAAGGCAAGCTCACCGAGAGCTAATTGTACCAGCAAAGCTAGATAGAAAAATCATAAGGTCCTGGCTCACAGCAAGGTTGGGCGTGCTCAGTGCTGCGCCCAGAGCCCATGGCAAGTATTCAAGTCTATTTTGCAGTCTTTGCTGAAGAGGTGCTAGGTCCTGCTAGGCCCTGCTAGGCCCTGCTAGGCAGTCTTGATGCTCCAGAACTCTCATGGCCTCCAGTCCAAGCTAAAGAGGCTGCCCGCGTGAGACAAGCGCATTATGGCTAGCATCATATGTGATCACGCATGTTGATTTGCAAGCAAGACCGTTTTGCACATTTCTCACCTGCTGTACGGGTGAAATGAGAGGAAACCACAAACTGTAAAGCAGAGGGTCCTTGGCACCATGAGTCCTTCCTTGCTCAAAGAGAAACACGTCTGGCTACACCATGGCAAGAACGCGGCTGATGGACACCCTGTCTAGTACAGTGGCAGTGAAACGGAACCTGTATCAAGCTACTTCATGTGGCTTTCTTTTCAAGCATATCACGAACAACCTGCTGCGGGGATACGGTTCCTCTCTCTCTCTCTCTCTCTCTCTCTGAGAAGCTGTTGCTGGGATGCAGGGCTCAACTGCCTATCTGCGACGCAAAACACACAGAAGTCTTCTACGGAAGGGCACGCGAATGCTGCATCCTTCGTCGAGGTACCACTTGCTGCAGCCAAACAAGCTGCCTCCTCCTTGTTGCTAACTTCTGGTGATGAGCTCGAAGCTGCTGGCATTTCCGGTAAGGCAGCCTTGCGAATGAGTCACTATTCTGCTTAATTGGCGGAGTCACAACGCAACATAGCGTCATGGAGCAATAGTCAACCAATACGCCAGTACGCCAAGGCAGCTGACAAAAAGATCAAACGTACAGCCTATTATAGCCCATGCGAAGCTTCCGACGCCAATAAGATAAACCAATCAAAGTCGTGTCCATGATCTCCTTGTTTTCTGCACCCATGACTCCTTGTGCAGCAGTAGGATGAACTTGTCGTAGTACTTTGCATCGACAATCTTGTAGGCTGGCTTGATGTGTGAGTACCTCAGGCTGGTGTGCACGATGTGATTCTTCCAGGCTGTGGCACATGGGCCGGTGAAGATTCTAAAGTCACGACAGGCTTCTGAAAGTGGCATGCACGCATCGGGAATTCAATTGAAAGTTGCAGCATTACGTGAAAACTCGAAAAATGCCACAGCTGAGAGCAGCTGAAAGGCACGGACCACTTGAATTTGGCATGCTTGAGCATTGCTGTCGAAATGAAAGCCATTGATACGGGAGTTTTCCATGCTGTCCGCTGACGTGTACGACCCAAATTCGTTCATACCTCGCTCCTCTCCTCAGCCCTACATACGGCTGTGCGCTGTGCTTTCTGCAGACCCATGGTATCCAAGTTCCAGCCACAGGGGGCATACACATAGATGTTTTATCGATTTATATTTTTTGGTAAGGGCCAGTGAGGCTGGAGTTTCTTGGGAACTTTTTTGACCTGGCTGGCCTCTCTAGACAGATGCTTTCTGCGAGAGCTTGACTTCAAGGCCAAATGTGAGAACGCTCCACGCGAGAGATCGAGTTCGAGGCAAATGCGAAGACACTCCATGCGAGAGCTCGCGTTCGAAGCAAAATCCTTGAGGGTTCCATGCGCGAACTTCATTTCAAGACAACATGTGAGCAAGCTCCAGGCAGGAGTTCGATTCTGAAGCAAGTTGTGCCAACGTACGAGGTCAGACCTTGTTACGTCTTGAAACAATCTCCTGCAGCCCTCCCCACACTTGCAAAAGCACATGTAGCTCTTTGCTCAGTCTATAGTCATCCCAGAACAGATCGAAGCTGCCGGCTTTCAAAAGAAAAAAGGTGTTTTCACAAACGGATAGATAGAATACTTGGGTGAATTTAGTTGACCCGAAAAAGGAGCCCTCAGACCTATTCCTGGCTGCTTGTATTTGAGGGCAGGCTTATTGAAGGGTGATAAAAGGGTTATGAGAAGGTTTCTGTCAGGCTTTCGTGCTGTTTAAGCACAGGTTTGTAGCGTGCTCAAGACGTTTCTGAGGGGGTTCTACAGTGTCTAGAGGCTTTATGAGAAGTTTTACCACGGATGCATATCTGTTATAGAAGGTACATGCAGGGTGAAAGGGTTTTCTGGAGGGTCTGTAGAGGGTTCAGAGATGTTCAGAGAGGTTTTCTAAAGTTTCATTGGGAAACCATAGAGGTACCAAACAGATAGATAGAATATTTGGGGGTTGTATAGCGTTTCATGGGGGGCTTAGAGGGGTACTAAACGGATAGATACAATATTTAGGGCAGAATTGTGTGGAGCCCAAAAAGGAGCTCACAAACGGATCCCGGCAGTTTCTAGGAAGTTTTGCAAGCCTTTGAAGGCTTGCAGAGGGTTCATGGGTTTGATAGTGAGCTTTCTTTCCACGGTTCAAGAGCCTTTCTCGAGGGGGTTGTAGAGGGATTCGCACCGTTTGATAAGCGGCTGACGGAGAGGTAGAAAGTCTCTTGCGCGGGTTTTACAGTGTTTTCTACGTCGTCCTGGAGTAGCTTACTCGGGTTGCTTCATGGCCCCTAGCATATTCTATCTACGGTTCTGCGAAATCCCGGCTTTCTAAAAAACACACCCCCAAAGATCTTATTCTATCTACTTAAGGATGACTGCAGCAACATCCTCCCAAGCAGTCTGTTACGCTTTACGATGCCAAGCAGAGGGGTTGGGGGAGCGCAAGGGCATAGACCAAAAATGAACAAATGTAGATCTTTGCAGTGTAGCAACGCTTCCCGAAGCAGTCTGTCTCGCTTGAAAAGTGAGAAAAGGCGGGGGTTGGGGACGCGCAGCCCCCTCATTCAAAAAAGCACCGACAAAAACGAAACATGCAGCTGCTTGCCCAGTCTAAGAACGATCTCCCAAGCAGTCTGTTTCGCCCGCAAAGGAAAAGCGGGAGGGTTGGCAGCCCACCCATTTGCAAAAGCATAGACGAAAATGACAACATGTAGCTTTTTGCTTTAGCCAGTGGGGGCCATCCCCCCTCCGGCTCAGCGAGGCACCCAGGAAGCAGCTGCCTCGCCGTTTATCAATTGGCCAGCAGGTTGATATTGTATCATAATCAAATCAGTGCATCAAGCAGCCTTTTTGTGCAATCTGGGTTACGGGCCTCACTGGGGCCTCATGGAGGCCTCAAACTCTTGCTGGAGTGCGTTCGTTGTAACCTGCATTCAATTCAAGTGGCTGCCGCCAAATGGCCTTGACTTTGTCCCCAAGGCAAAAGTAATCTTGATGCTGGGCTATTGACCTTGAGCCCAACTAGCTTGCATCCAGATGGGAATTGCTTCGGCCATGTACACAGATGTGACAGTCCCTACATTGTTCTGAACAAAAGTGTGCGACCCACGGTCTTGACCCATCCATTCATCAGCCCCCGGTATCCTTTTTCAGGGAAACACAAGGAGCTTTTTGCCGGTGCCACTGGGCGCCAATCAACTTTGGGCAGAGGATGCAGGTGTTGGCATGTCAATCGTCGGCGGGTCGAGGATCACCTTCAGAGTTACGTTACGCATGTGTCGCCTCCAGAGCGGCTGTTTGCCGTGGCCATGCTTCCTTGCCGGCCACACGCGTGTCTGATGTTGAATCTTGCTGATGTGGTTCCTAAATTCTTCGTATACATACCATGCGAGAACCAAACCCCATTCCGCTTTGAGAGAATCGCTTCTGCGCAGTGAAGGCTGCTGCGAAGGCTTTTGGTCTTTGATTCTATGGGCGGCGCTCATAACATGGAGCTGGAGCGTGTTTGTGATTGAATGGTCATTTGGTTCTTCAAGGGTTTGGCAGCAGTTGGCACCATTGCGTGCTGTGTGCAAGGGCGCTTGCAGGAGCGTCGACAGCAGCATGAAACTGCTGAAGCTCCACGGCTATGAGAGCATTAGGCATCGAACCTTTCGACACTGATGTTGACCGCCATGCCACAACATTACGGATTCCCTGCTGGCAGATTTTGGTCTGAAACAGACTTAATTTGACAGTGCACTGATTGGAAGCAGGGTGGCTAATCCTGAGCGACCTCTGCATCCTCATTATGCAGTGCGTCTGCACGCTTGATGTGAGAGAACAACTCAAATGACGTCAGAGCATGAGCTCGAACACGCAGCATGTGGGTCCCACACCACAAATAGACTGCGCCTTTGTATTCGGGGCACCTCAGACTCAGAATTGCTTAGCGACTTGAACATGGGAAAGCCACATCATTCGTGCATGAGATTTTCTTCTAGGATCAACAACCACTGGAAAGCGACCTGGAAAAACTGGTGTAAGTTCCAAGCACCAGCCACCAAAAGAACAGCGTCTTCAACTCCTTGGTCTTGGTTTTTGAGACCATGATGCTTTCAGTCGGCAATCGACAAAAAAAACGATCAAGAAACATACGCATAACTGAGAATTCTGCTCCAATGCACCAACACCCTGACGCGAATCATCCAGTGAAATGTAACTTCTACAAGTGCTGAAACTTGGCGGAAAAAGCTATCACGTCTTTTGATATCAGTGACTCGAATCCGTAAAGAGATCTGATCAACCTCTTCTGCACAACGATTCTACGAAGAGCATTCTGCCTTGACGACATCAAATCGTGTCCAACAAACTTGTAACTTGACTGCAACTTTGTATTGACATGTATTGACAACTGATGTGTGGGTGGATCACAACTTGCAAGGGGCGCAAATATGCGAAGATTAATGTCCGCATCTTGGCAACTTTCCTGTTGTCGGGCGTCTAAAGTACCCGACACCTAAACCTAAGCTACCCTCACATCTCAAACCCACAGTGAACCTTGTGGCAACATGACTCAAAATGCTGCTGAGATTCTACAAACAATGGGCAATAGTCCACAAAGAGCCACAGCAGAGTAGACTCCAGGAACATCCAAACAGCGCATATGACCTTCGTCACACACTCTTGCTAATGAGCTGCACAATGCCAGCGTAACAGTCTCAGGTTCGCGCGAAATAGGTCGTAAACAAAACATAATCAAGATCTGAAAGGACTCCACCACCTTGGACCTGCTTGCTAAATTTTGCAAACAAACATTGCAAACATCTCAATGCGGAAGTCCAAGATATAGTTTCGTATCGAACGGAACAGGCTCACTATGAGGCGTGGCCCAACAGTTGTCCTTTTTCCTCTCTCCGTTCTTTGTGTACGGGTTGAACAGTATCGTATCGCTGTCAAATGTCCCGCGCCCGCTTTGTGATTTCCTATATTTCCTGTGGTGCTATTCAATAATTAACTTGGAGGCACATACAGTGTCCCAAGTTAGAACCGCAAATAACTTCGAACACACGCACACAACATCACACAACACTGTTGCGGAGGCTCTTTTACCTCGAGCCAAATTCAGTTCCCATGTCAATTGCGTGCGGACCAGAGGTGTCGGTGCTGCGCGCTGGCCTTTCTGGAGACGAGCTTGGGGGATTCTGTGACGGGGCTGGTGGGCACCATTCACGCAACATGATCCTCAAACGTTCGACTGACTCAAAGCGTAAATTCGATCATCCAAGACGATATGGCCCCTTGCACTTGTCTGAGCACTGCTTCTCTGTCCTTGGGCTATGTGACATTCCACTTCCACTCGCTTTCCAAAATGGCTTGCCGGAGCCACATGGTTTCCGGGCTATCTCCTTCTCTGGTTCCCGGCGAAGCAGTTTCGACTCTTGGAAGTCCATTCTTCCAGGATCCTATGGCCCAGGGTTCGCATGTCCAATAGTTCCCCCTGAAAAATGAGTCCTGTTTCCTCACACACCACTTGCAAAGTATCTGAGAGCACGCACGAACCTCCTTTTCGGTAGGTTTTTTTTGCAAGCGCACTTTCGCACCGCAGTAGCATCAGGTGTGGTAAAAGTCAGAAGCCTAGTATTCAGGCTCAACAGTTAGCTGTGAAACTTGCTCACGTACCTCTCAAATTGCCAAAGTTTCAGCGATTCCAAATGCGATACGCATACAGGGGCCAAGCTCCCAGCACATCCTGCTCAGACCTGTCAGACGAATCAAATTGTCTGCAATAAAAAACTCAGCACGCGCAATCCATTTGCTGTGCCCAAATCTCAGTATTGAGTGTGAAACGAGCATCTCCACCTGGCACTCCAGCATCGTCACAGCACCGTGACCCATTATAATCATTTGACCACGTCAAAAGACACTCTTACCAATCCAGTTCCGTACGTTGATCATATAGCCGAAGAAGGCATTTGTATCCGCAACATGTCGTCCTTCACTGGACTGCAGCAAAAGGAGTGCACAACAACAAGGAGAGACCAGCTGGCATGCCAAACGCAAGCTGCGGTGTCTGAACAGGCGCAAGCAGACAGGTTCAGGGACAAGGCACAAAAAACGCCCACTAAACCACATGCTAGGCGAGCCCAAGCGGAGTCAAGTCGGCACAGCTTAGCAGCTTCACGTCCTGGCACGGCCTATCACGGCAACAGCAGAAGCACTGTCAGAGGCGACACGTGTTGACGACGCGCTAGAGAACTCCTTTCTTGGAGAAAGGCTCATCCCCATTTAGCCAGGGCAGCATAGGGTGGAGAAGGGAGGGAGGGCATGACCAAGGCAACCTCCTGCGCGCAAGTGAGCACTCGCTGGCGTTGCGCTGGATTTCGGTACCAAGAAGCAGCACCGCAGCAAGTAGGATCATAGCAGAGGGCTGATGCACATGCACACTGGCTGCGCTGTGGCGTAAAGCATTTACTGCTCGTCACAATCGAAGATCTGAGGCCGCTTTTACGGCTACATCGCTCACTCCGCAGCATAGCCAAGCTGCAGCCACGCGCTTTCTCCTCCGCGTTCGCTCCCCAAAGGGCCACGCCGTGCCACGCCTCGATGAGAAACAGACCTGTGTGGTCTGGGAGAAACTGCTCACAATTCTCCACCAGTCAGCCCTTTCTTATTCTCAGTGATCGCCGCAAATGCCAATTCCTGCTTGTTGTTTGCTCATGCCTGGTCTTGGCTTTCACTTGAGGCTTCATAGGTGGATTTCACTTGAGAAATTTCCCTGATTGCCCACTTATTTTGGCTTTTCTGACGCTAACAGTCGATCACACCAGTGTGCTTGCCTCACCTGTCTGCTGATAAAAGTTGCCCTAAGCGTGCCCTACCCCTGCTGACTCTGCGACACCTTGTCACGCCGTTCTTAGCTCTCATGCTCGCAGTGATGTTGCTGATACTGCAGTCGCTGCAGCTCAATTGATCCGCGGGAACTTGCTTTGTGTGAAGCACCAACGTACGACTGCCCAGAAGAGCCCTGACGAACCTGAGCCGAGTTGACGCTGGTTCTGGATCTGGGATCGCCTTGCAGGCGTGTGGGGCTGGAGACGGCGTAGTCCTCATCGAAGCCTGGAATTTGAACGATCTTGCTGATCGTTCTGTTGTGCCTTCCTCATCCTCTCCGAGCAAGAGCAAACGGGGGAATATTGATGAGCAGTGAATGATTTCCTCTCCTGTTTCAATTTTTTTGCGTTCTGCCAAAGATCCCTGTGGTGGACATTTGTCTTGCGTGTGCGTGTGACCTGCCTTAGTCTGAAGCCACTTCCTCTTCTGGTAGCGCGACCATAACTAGGTTCCCGCCAGGCGCCTCGACGAAGCAACCTTGATTCCTCGCTGTGCACAACTCCCTTACTACTTTGGCACGGCTCCCACTGTAGGATCTCTGGAATTCGTTGCCCTTTCATTCGTTGACGACATTCCTGGTCTTCTCCCTGGCTGTCGAGTTTCTGACGCACTTCTCACTGTCCCACTTGCAGCAGGTGGGAACCCCCCTGATTTTCCACGTGATGTGTTCGAAGTGGATGAGCTGGATGAGCCGGAGGGACTTGTTTATTCTTCTTCGTCCTTGTACGTGCCGCTTGGCCCTCTTCCTGCTGGGTTCGGTCCACCTGTCCCTGCTCCCTTAACTTCAGGATAAGGAGCTGTCTGCGGCGCCCTATGGTGCAACCTCTCGCTGCCCTATGGTGCAACCTCTCGCTGCTTTGACCATCTTGCTCTTGGTGGCTCCATTGATAAATCGGTGGCACATTCTGTCATAGCTTTTTGCCGTTTTCGCTCACAGTGCACATGCAAGACAAACTTTCTCCGCTTCTCTGCCTTGTACAGGTGTCCCTCCCTTCTGTCATTGCCTTTTCCTGCTCCCATTGTCATCTGCAGCTCCTGAGCTTCCAGTCGTCGCGTGCCTCTTTCTGCCTTGCTTCCCTTTATCCAATGTATCCTCCTCCTTTGTTGCAGAGCTGCTACTTGTGGCCATGGCGTGATGTATCAACTCAACACCTTGTACCTAACAGTCTTGGGAACACACAGCAAGCGAGAATCCAACGAAGATCCCACCCCCATCATGCATCCACGATCAACAGCTGATTACATTCCCCAAATCTGGAGGGGCTCCCACGAATGTTGTTTGCAAAGGTTGCGATTCCCGCGGTAGAGGGGCGTATTCTTCCTCTTCCCGAAGAAGCACGCAGTCAAAGAGAACTCCCTTGGCTAGAAGGACCAGTTTAATTTATTCTCCCTTTGGGGGGGGCCTGCTTACCCGGTCTGTCCGAAAAATGACAGCGGTATGCTGCTCAAGCCTCCCCCATCAGCCCACGCGTCCACCACCCCCTCTCCAGGGAAGGCCGCCAAAGAGGGAAGGGGCCAGGGTGTGACTGCCCCCTCCCGAAGGAGAGCGCACAGGGCCAGAAACTTGAGCCAAAATCGTCCCCTCTGCATTTTTTGTTCTTTCTTTCATTCGGGTTGTGGGGAGACCACAAGGTCCCCCGACCTTCTGTGCCCAGCCCCTGTTGGGCTGCTTGGTTGAACACTACCCTCGTTGCTTCACACGTGGTTACTATCATCCTACTTCTACTTCAACTTCAACTTACTGGGAGACTAGTAAGGCTAACCACCGTGAAGTCTTAGCATGGCATGTATCACCATGGTTGCGTGCCTCCTCTGCCGCTAACAGTATTTGTGAAGACGAGGTCTACGAGTCGAAAAGGCTTAACGCCGAGGTCTCCGTGTCTAGCTCTCTGTCTGTCTTTCTTTCTTTCATGCGGGCTGTGGGATGACTCTGTAGGATCACCCCGGACTCCTGCCCAGCCCTTGTTGGGCCTCTTGGTTTGAACTACACCCCTCTAGAACCACATTATGGCTGAGGCGAACTTTAGTGACAGGATGGGTCAATAGCCTGATATGGGTAGGTAGTGCGTTGCCATAGCGCGGTTGTTTGACATCCATTTGTGAAACTAGGTGGCCAAATGCGACAGGTTTACCATATTACTACAAAAAGTTGCTCTTCGGTAATTTGACTATTATGAGGTTGGCCTCTTGGTCGTTGGTGAGACTTGCCAGAACGCTGCCCAGGGGTGAGTGCTCAGAAAAACAGCATGAGTATTTTGTCTGTCTCTGACTCTCTCTCTCTCGCTCACTCGCTCGCTCGATCGCCCCGTAACTCACACAAGCAAATGGGAAATACTGCTTTTCAGTAAGCTACTCTTGAGTCTTGAACTCACCGAGCCTTGCGAAAATACTGCGCAGCTGGATGGCCAAACTGCAAGAGGGCGGAAAACGTGCAAGGCGCAGGCAGTACTGAGACTGGCATGGCGACCACTCAAGTCCCTATGCGTTGCATCTTTGCGTATGCTCCCCACAAATTAGCCAGAACGCAGCAGAAATGTAGACAACTTGTCTCCAGCTTGCCACTTGCACCTACTTGCCTATCGCTGCGCACTGCAGGTTAGCACAATTTTGGCCATGCTCTCTGCCGCGACATCGCTGAAGTTGGAAAACTTTGCTTCCTCTCTGCTTGTTCACAAGCAGAAGCTACAAGTAGCCACAAGTACAAACTTGGGTTGTACTCTTGCTGGAGTTGCAACCGCCAAAGGGCCGTCTTCATCAGTGTGTAATGCCTTGCTTTGAGGCCATTTCTGCGCAGGCGCGGCGACTGGAAGGCAACCACGATTGGATGACTTGTTCTGCATGCCTTTCTGCTGCAAAGCATATGCATCATCCTGTATGATGCATCAATTAATGCCAGTTAGGAAATGACAAGAATCGCCTTCTCAAGATGGCGCCAAGCCCTCAAACTTCATGCTGCCGAGCTCCTGGCAGTCAGTCAAGTCACATGTGTACCATAGCGGACCTAGCTTCTTGAACGCTGGCAGTTGCTTCCAATCTCAACTTTATCTCCATCACCGTGCCATTTCAAAGAGTGCAGCCGACTGTACCTGGATACCAGCATTCTTCTTGAGCTTCCAAGTTGGAGCGTGCATGGTATTAAGTAATGTTGGACAATCTCTATTTTTGTGCAAGTTCTGGCAGGAAGTTGGCCAAGGCCTCCCACACAAGCATGACAATACACCCTGCGACAGGCTAATACAGGCCACAGGTCCACGAAGGACTTTATCGCAGCAAACAGCATTCCCAAACCCCGTCGAGTGTGAAGACATGTGTTGGATCACTGCGCCCCTAATGCGCATTGTATGCTGCATCGAGGCGTGCTTTGGCCTCGCAACTGCAGGAAAATCTCCTCCAAGTTGGCCTATGCTTGAAAGCAAGGGCACTGGACACTGGGCCAACTGGAAACTAGCGGCCACAGGAAAAATGAGAAAAAGATGCACCACTACGCATGAAATTGCGAACACCAAAGGCATTGATCTGTCTGAAGACAAACAGCAGACATCCCAACCTGGGGAGAAACACGTAAAGCAAAATGAGAAGGCAAACTTCAATGGCCAACTTGCTATAGCACACATTAGCCGGCCAGACAGCTGTTGAAGATCTCCAAAGCAGCCAGCATTCTTCGTGTTTTTGCATGGCAGTGATTTGGCAAGAAGCTGCGTCGCAAATGATTTAGCTGTAGTCAGAGACGACAGGACGGTGCCGCACAAAGCCATGAGCAACAGGTCAGAGAGCGTCAGAAACCAAACCCATAGCGCGCGGAATCAACACCCCAGACCTCGCGGAGGAATTGGCAAAACAAGGAAGGCTCCATTCATCTCTGCGACTTGTTGGAGAGTACTTTCAACACCAAGTGGGCACCCAAGCTGTGGAGATCCTAAGCAGGGTGGGTGTCTGAAGAAAATGGGAGGGTAAAAAGAATGTAGTTTTCTGGAGAGTTTCTTCTCTTGCGGTTAGCGTGACACATCAGCAAGTGGCTGCAAGTTCAACATGGATATTTCTGTCACGCCTATGTATGCTTGCTGGCGGGCCGCGGTCTTGCTACTGATCCGCTCCACTTCGCGGGCCGTGTGGTGACCTTGGGATCCTGAAGAAACGTTCCAGACAGCAACGTCTGTCAGCACGAAACGCCACATCACACTGAAGAAAACTTGCGCAGTCTTCAAACGGATGATGGTGTATGATGGTGTACTGAAAAGACACCTGCATTTCATACTTGGTTCCCGAAAAACCGAGCTTCTGTAAGACCCCCGACACTTGACAAAATGATTTCAAACTCCCTACCCAGTCTCGGCCCCAAGCCTCACGCAGTTATGAAGCCACTTACATTGGGTGACTGCAGAATTTTGACAGCGATCATACACTGCTCGAGGTCTTGACTTGGCAAAAGACACATTGCAAGATATCGCAAGTACACAGACGGTTGAGCTCTTTTTTGGTGCCAATGACTGCTACTGTCCCGTGAGCGCATCACCTGACGCATTCCAAACAAAAGTCATGGCGCCTCCTCAGTCCCGAGAACGGCATCTCTGTCTGGTAGCAAAATCATCTCATCTAAGGCCTGCACGAAAGAAACGGCTATGGATTTTTTTCTTCACAAGGACCTCCCAGCCTTCCCTGGCGCGACCATCGGTAAGCAGATGTCAGGAACCTCGGCATGCATGGCACGAGAAAATCCAATCAAAAATTAAGCCGAAGCTTTGGTGCCAGAACCTAGTTGCCTTGATCCTGCCCCCCGAATTTATAGCGTTGCGTCTGCTTGAGGTCTTGGGTCTTGCGGCGTGACGGGGTGACATTGGGCAGCACCATCTGAACCCACACCTTTACGTACGAATCCAAAAAAAATCTTGTCTTTGTTCGTACAAAGTTTGCAGAAGACACATGGAAAACACAGAGACCGTTCAGTAATGAACAGAGGGTGGGGGAAGTAGGAACGACAAGGCCGTGGGTAGTAATGGTGAACAGGGCGGACAATATCAACGCAAAGAAATTGCATGTCAGAAAACACTTTTGGAGCCTCTGCCTCCAAGCCATGATATTTCTTATTAAGACTTAGAAGAGCTGTGGTATTTCTTGTCAAAGTTCTCAGCTTCAACTAGAGAATGTTGTCCCGAAAGCCTTTTTGGCTGAGTGCGTAAGACCTGATACAACCGTGCAATTTTAGCAAAACGAACTTCACGACATCGATCCATCCATTTACGATAACGCCTTGCATCACAACATCCATCACGCAAAGACGATGACGACAACCTTACCGAAGACCACCTTGCGCAGAGGGTCGTCGTTCGCGCCCAGAATTTCGAGGACGCTCCACTCGCCAGCGACACGACAAGCCGGGACCACCTAGAAGGTCGTCATTCGCGCCGAGGATGTCGAGGACGCTCCACGCGCCAGCCCTACGACAAGCCCAGGACACCGAGAGGGTCGTCATTCGCGCCCAGAATTTCGAGGATGCTCCACGCGCCCTACGACAAGCCCAAAATCGAGAGGGTCGTCGTTCGCGCCGAGAATTCCGAGGACGCTGCTGCTGTATTTCTTATCAAAACGTAGGGGAGCTGTGGTATGTGTTATTGGCTGTGGTATATCTTGTTAAGAGTTCATGCAGCCGTGATTAACATGAATTTGACGAGCTGTGGTAGAAATACCGCACTCAAGCTTTTCAAAAGACATACCACAGCTCCTTATTCTTCATCTGGAATACCACACCTCCTCTAATTCTTAATAAGAAGCACCGCAGCTCCCCTAATTCATACTAACAAGCTCCACAGCTCCTCTAAATATTGATAAGAGACGGAATACCACAGCCCTCTAATTCGTAATAAGAAATACCACCGCTCTTCTAAGTATTAATAGGAAATACCACTAGACCCGTCCGAATAACAACAAGGGACACGTATGTTCGCGTTGTCAGGGTCTGAAAATTCGCAGCAACGTAGGGATTGAGTTTATCTGCAACCATATCCGCAAGTCTCGATAAAATATGACCACAACTTCTCTAATTCTTAAAAAAGAAACACCACAACTCCTCTAATTCGTCAAAAGAAAAATACCACACGTCCTCTATTTCTTGATGAGAAGCACCACAGCTTCTTTCATTCTTAATCCGCCGACCCCAAGGGCGGTGCCCAGCAGGTGCATTGACTGCCAAAAAGCAGAAACTAAAGGTACGGGCTTGAAGGAGCCCTCTCAAGGCTCTGCAGGTTGGGGGCCTAGGAGTTCCTGTGGACCAAGGGCTTCAAAAGTGGGAATTGGTTGGGAAAGGGTTTTAAGGACTTCTCCGGCTCTGGTAGGGGGTATCGGAGCCCTTGTAGACCCTTTCAACGTAAAGTAGGTTTAAAGTGGGACCGGCTGTTTGTAGGATGACAGCCCCTGCAACGCCTCGGTAGGGGCCTTAGAGACAAAGATTGGAATCGGTTGTTTTTTGGAGGGCAGCTCTTGGGGTGTCCGGGACCTCTTCCAGGGTAGGTTGCTTGGGACCTGATGAACCGGCAAATCGGCTGATTTTTGGAAGCAGCCCCTGCGAAGCGCCTTGGTAAGGGTTTTAGGGACCTCTCCTCCGGGGGGTATAGGAGGCTTGGGATTGGGAGCCTCTGCTTCTTAACAGCTTCAAAAGTGAACCCTGCGTTTTGGGACCTCTCCCAAATCTCTGGGGGTAACGGGCTTAGGAGCCCTGTGGACCCTTTATAACACAAAGTAAGTTTTTTGAAAGGTTTTGGCTGTTTGTTTGGAGGGCGGGTCCTGGAGGGCCTAGTAGGACCGCTCCCAAGAGGGGCGGGGTAGTATGCTTCAGTAGAACTTGTCAGCCCAAAGTTGGTTTTCAAAAGTAGCAGCCTTTGGAGGCCGTGTCAGAATAAGGGGGTATCGGAGCCCGTAAACTCCTTCAAGGTCAAAAAATTTATTATGGTCCTTGGGGCTTCGGTAGGGGCCCACGGGACTTCTCGGGAGTTTTAAGGCCACCGGGCAGAGTTTGCAAGGCCTTGGTAAAGGATCTCTCCCAGGGTCTCGGGTAGGGGGGCTTGGAACCGGCTGTTTTTGGGAGGCCAGATAGCGGGCAGGGAGGGGTTCTGGAAGGGGTGGGGGGGAGGGGAGGTGCTGGCCTTGCCTATTTACAAACCCAATTGTCATTTGCATACGATTTACAAACCTATTTACAAGCCCTTTCGAAACACCCTTACAGGACCCCAGCAAAAACGCACTCGCTCTTTTACTTTCGAGATGGCGGAAATCCCTGTCGTAGCCGGAGAAGACCTCCTGCCACCAAGCAGGCTCCTCTTTCCTAGGTGAAAGACTACGTTCACCCCATCCAGGAAACTACTGGCGCCCGCCAGTCTTCCTGTCGGGGTAGGGAGGGTGGGCAAGGCACTTCAAAATTGCCCCCCCTTT